GTGTAGGGAGCTTGTGGGGGGAAAAAAAAGTTTCTCTGACTCCAAGCACACGTAACTGTTACTTGCTTATTAAAAAAGGCTAGCTAGGATTTAGTCTCAACACGATTGACTTCCTGGGTCAAGTCTTTCTTCCCTGCATTTGTATGCCTTCAGCGGTACACCTGAAAGCATCTGACAAAACAAAATTCTTGCAGTATGTCATCAAGCCGAATTCTATGTTTGCAGAAGGGCGAATGCTTTGAACAGCAATGTGGAGAAAGTGATTAGACTCACCAGAAGTGCCAATTAATTAATTGTTTGGATACAACATAAACACTCCAGAGAAACCAACAGCAGAGGGTAATTTGCTATCCACGAATTAAACCCAAACTGCAAAGACCACTTTCACATTCAAGAGAAGAGCTAGCAGCAAGATTTCACAGGAAGTATTACAATAATGATTTTGGTCACTAGAAATCCAAGAGAAGAAATTTCTTGCAACATTCTATTTGACGAGTGATAGCCAACAACAAAGCAAAGCCTCACTTTATATGTAAAAGCCTAGGTTTTCTTTTCAAAGTACCTGAACAATCCTATTTTAAGCATCTGCGAATATATAAACTCAACCAGAAAGAGTTTATGAAACATGAAGTCATCACAAGACTGCTTACTTTTCTGCCAGCTCCTCAACGAATACAGTCAACGTGTTGCCATCCTGTCCGACTTCCTGGATATGAGCATTGTAATATTTACCTCCAGGCTCCAGACGCACCTGGAGAGAGAAGAAGGGAAGCCCTAAAAAAGAAGCCAAACTGTATCAGGGGATTCAGAATACTGTCTACGAACCGCTAATAGCAAAGGCTGCTCCTAGCTGATTATATATTACTGAGCTGGTCCAGGAGTCTCACACTTCTTCAAAATAGCAAGCAAAATAAAGAGCACTGTACTCACTTCAGGGTGGAAGAAAACAAACAAACAAAAAAGTCTTCTGAGTGACTGAGAGGTAAGAAGATACCTGCTTTCTAACTTATTTTTATACACTGTGCCAAGCAGATAAGTACCAAGGAAGACCACTATTTAAGAACCTGAGGAGAACAGAAGATAAAACAGGGAATTGGAAAGGAAAGCTCTGCTCAGCTAGAAAAAAAAAAAAAATCATCATGAAGTGAGTCATCAGCACTACCTCAAACAGTGATAAAAAAATATGCCCTCACTACAAACAACATTGGAATACAAAAAAAAGCTGACCTCCCTTTCAGTGTCTCCCAGCCAGATCATGCTACTCCTCCCTTTTTAGCTGTTATCTTTCTATTTTATAAAAATATTTGCCACATTACTGTTAAGAAGTGGAAGACTGTCCAGACTTGTTGGTGACCCCCAGTGAAATCTAATAGACAACTCTCTCAAATGCACACCCTGTGCATTTTGAGCTCTCGGTCTGGAGCTTCCACAGTCACAGGATCTGTATCACTGGTTCGCAATGAATTTCCAAGCAGCTTTTCCTTCACACTACCCAATGTTTAATGGTAGATTTTAGAAATTAAATTAAAAAGAAAGTCAGATTAATAGCTACAAGGAAGAGAACGAGAAAAGCCTTTGAAAATTCTATGAAGTCAAATGATTTTATGGCTTACCATACTCCATTTAAAGCAGTTTTAATAGTTTATCATAACTGAGTCTCCTTTGAGTACTAACCTGACACTTGTCTCCTAAATAGTACTGTCTCCCAGCAAACACCATGTAGTCAGTTTTTTGAAGCTCTAAAAATAAATGAATAAATAAATAAAAAGGAAAAAGCCTTTAAACTACTGTTCTTTCTTCATGTATCCTACAAGTACTTCATGACAGCATTGAACTAGAAATTATAGGCTGATTGAGTTAAATATTTCCTATGTATATCTGAACATTCCCGAAGTAACGGTAAAGTAACTGTAGATGTTCTTATAACAGACCATAACTAGGCTAAGTCACAGGAGATCAATAATATCCAGATAACGCAGTATCACTACTACTGCAATACTACAATGTCTTTTGTGACAGCATCAAGTTAATCCTGCACTTAATACCGGGATTGGTATTAAAAATGTTGTAGATGTCTTGCCAGAGTACTAGTGGCACCTGGCAAAAATGAGAGGTCATCCAGGAAAACCTAACATTGCCTAAAGTCTCCTTGCTGGTAGATTTCAGTAGGTTTTTCTCCACTCCTTGCCTGGATTCTCTGTACGTCAGTACTCTACATAGGTAATTAGTTACTATACTCTGTTCCAAGAATTTTAATGACCCTTATTATTGCTTATATGCAGTTACAAAATGCTGTTACTGCTTATTATGCAGTTACAAAATGCTGAAATTCTTCAGTATGCAAAGTACTTTGGGTCAGACATCAAACACCGCTTCAAAACTTATTTTTCTTGGTAAGTTCTTGCATTACAGATCAGCCATCGTGAATGCCAAAAAGCAGCAACCTGTCCCAAGCCACGAATATCATGAAATCTTTACAGAACATTCAAGCCCAGGAGAGCTGGGAAGCAAGAGAAAACTCATCTCATTTGACAGATCTCAATGATAAATTTGAGATCTTCATTATTATAAGACTCTGAAGCCAAAATCATGTTTTAAAAAGCAAGAAGCCCTTGCACACATGCTGCAACAAAAATCTCTCAAATTTGAATGATTTCCAGTACAGAGTGGCAACACAGAGTTCTGTACTCTGAGTCCTTGTATTTCCCATACTACAGTCAATAAGTAGCAGAGGTCAGATTTATAGCAACCTTGTCACCATTATACAGTGTCAGAAGCAGTGCATTTCGTACTTTGAAATGAAGCCAAGAAACCAGTTACTAGCAAAAAGATTTACTACCTACAACTGACTGCTGGGTTAACCAGTACTCTTCACGTTTCAGCTGTGAAGAAACAGGTGACATAGCCTACTACAAAAAAATGGGTTTTTTTCCCCCTTTTTAAAGATACCTTTTCTGCTGTCCAGCCAAACATCAAACTCCACATTTCGATAGATCTCAGGGTCCAGTGCCTTTAGCACTTTATAAGGAACTGGCATCTTTGATGGATTTTCTGGAGGCTAAAACCAGAGTTGAAATAGAGCATTAACAAGCACATTTAATGTGTTCAGCACAGTCTCCATCCTGCCATGATCTGTGGACCACTTTAAGATGTACACACACTATTTTCCAAAATTTCCACCTCCATTATATTTGCCTAAAACCTAAAGCTCAAGAATATGAAAACACATGTGAGCATTCAGAAGCTGAACAAACAGACTTTGGAACAGTTAGAAACAGGTTCGAGAGTAATATTTGGCATGTTCTTTACTCAAAAAGAACCAAAAGAAAGCTAATCAGACTAAAGAAGCCATGGCTTCAAATGTTGGTGGGAATTTCGGTTATTATATCTGAAAACAGGTTTCTCTAGAGTTTCTAAAACTGTTCCAAAGTGATTTATACTGCATTCAAAACAAAGGTGAAGTGATTTACACCATTTCTGGGAAAAAACAAAACAAAACACAACAGCAGATCAGGAAAGATCTGCTAAGCTCCATCATTGCGGGGGAGTGGGGAGCAGAATTAACTAAAGAAGAACAACAGAATCTCAGAAGGGAAAAAGGCTTATCCAATTTAATAGAAACTCAAGGGCAAAACCAAAAGACAACTAGATAGAAGAAACAAGCCACCCGCTTTTCAAAAAGTCGTTTTTTAAAATCAGGAAAGAGGGTTTAGCCCTAACAAGGGTAACATCATACAACAACAACAAAAAAACACCACTATAAGGAATTCTTTCCTAACTTACAAACCTTTTCTTCTTCAATGCTTTGTTTGAACTTATCTTCCTGTGGATTGTCAGTATCATTGCCTTCCCAGTCGTCCACTCTAAGTAATTGAAAATAAGATTACAAAAAATACAATGCATAATTTCTAGCCAGGACTAAAATCAACCAACTGTTCATACAATCTCAAAAAGCACCATGGTGCCATCAAGTGGTAGATTTTGCCTTAGACTCTAGCCATGGCTGCGATGCAGTACAGGACAACCCTTTTCCTAGTTTCAAGAACGTGACCTTTACTTGTTCCAACACCCACCCCTAACAAGGGCTTGCATTAGGAAAGGATGAAGATGATGCCACTTGCTGATTAAACTGTCAGGTACAAGACACCCTGTTCTAAGTCTTATCAAACCAGTGTCATCTGCAAGGATCCAGTAACCATCAGAGGCATCCCTCAAGCCTTTCTAGTGACTTGAACAACGCAGGATATGAGGGTTTCTATAGGTACATTCTGTATGTTCCCCTCAGTGATCCAACAGACTTAGATAATGCCACCATTTATCTGTCTATTTAGGGTACAATTCCGTTAAAAAAAGGACAAACAAGAAAATAAAGCAGAGCTCATTTTCTCAGTACACTATTGCCTCTGCGGAGCTATAGAGGCTTATAAGAGTAATAAGTTTCTCACAAAAAAAGTATTCTGATGACATAACGAACAATTTTATTTACAAATAAGCTGTCATTTTACAGAGTAACACACAATTATAACATAGCCAGCAGCAGAGGATGTTCAATTATGTGACACTTCCCAGATCCAAAGAAAGTACACTCTCTTCCACAATATACTTCAGCTTTGCGTTTGTGTCATGAGATAGGAAAAAAAATTAATACCCCATGAACATTCAAAGAAACTTGGAAAAGTTGCTCTTTCCAAGGTTTTTAATTTTTTTTTTTTTGCTTCCCTTTTACCACATCCCCTTCCCAAAATACTACCTCTTTTCTGATGGATTTCTGGATACTTTTTCACGAAGACAATCAAAGTTTGCATCCTCAATCCCTGCAGAGCCACTGTTTCTGTTCTTCTTGGATCCACTTCGAAACACCTCAACTGCAGACCTTAATTCTTCCTCATCCATGCCAAACACATCTTTGTACAGGATCTCATATAATACAGCTGAACAAATCAACACAAAGCTCAAGCCAAATTAAGATAATACCAGATCCATTAGAACTGCTGCAATTTTCAAGGTAAGCATATCTTCAGATGTTATCTACTGTTACAAGGCACTAGTTATATTAAATTCAATTAATGAGAGGATCATAAAGTAATTCTGGTGGGAAGAATGGACTTCTGGAAGTCATTTAGTCCAACATCAGACTTAACAGATAGAATAATGAGTATATACAATAAATGAGCTTTCATCTCTCTCCACCCCATCCCTGAAAACCAAAACAAATATTGCCTATAAACATATGAAAATCCATAATACTCTTCCATAGAAAAATGATTTCAAGTTTACCCTGGCAAATAGCAGCATTTTCCTGGAATTGTTTTGCATACACAGAGTCATAATGGCCGTTGCCGGAACAACACAGTAAAATCTAGGGGAGGGGGGGGAGGAGAAAAAAAAAAAAAAAAAAAAAAAAGGGCTTTAAGGTGGGAATGATGTAAAACCTAACTCTTTCTATTTGATACCCTAGCTCAAGACTACATTATCCTTTCATTATACAGGTGACACCCAGATGACAATAAATATTCTCAATATAAACACAAAAAAGCTGTAAAATCAGCTTCAAACTGAACCCTAGGTGAAGTCTCTAAATAAGTTTGTCTATTACACAAAGAAAAAGTATGTATTTGTACATCATGTTGTATTAAACATGAAATTAAGAGTTTGTTTCCAGCTTATCTCTGAAGTCACCAATTGCTCAAGAGGTACAATAAATACAAGCCATTAAATGCAGTACTCCTGAGATACACTGCCCAAGTATCAAAGGCACATATCACCCTTCTCTACCTGAGGGACTGGAAGAGCATCTGCTTCTCCAGCCCTATTAAAAGCCTTGCTTTTAATAAGCAATATTATGCTGCCTTTTGAAGACACGCTTTCTGCAACATATGCATTGATACACCAAGTGAACGTATACCAGCAAACCCCATCTTGGCATGTGACCACAGGCAACTACAACTGGCAGAAGCCCTTAGGCAGCTGTCAGCACATTGCCAGCAAGGATGCCTCCCAGTGAACCAGCAGGAGCTGGGATGCCAGGGCTCTTAATTCAGCGTGCACTACGTCTTCTGCCAACACAAGCTCTCATCTCATGGTGAGAATGAGCAACACCAGAAAGAGCTGCTGCCTGTACACGCAGTCTAATGACAGACAGCTGCCAACACTTAATGAGAGCTCAGGTGGTACAGCCTTCCAGGACAAACACACATTTAGACCATACTGCTTGATTTTTAAAGTTAGCTCATTTTGGAATTAGATTAAGCTACACAGGAAACTACACAGGAAAAAAAGTGCATGTAAACAAAGACAGTAATACAAACGAAGAAAGAAGAACAGTTACAGCAGCACAGATTTCAGAGCAGACTAGCCACTTTGGCAAATATAATAGCCCATACTGAAATCCATACTGCAGCAATTTGACTGGCATCATGCCTGAGCTAGCCACATAATTGTGTAGGCACATCTACATGACTGCAGAACAAACAAGAGGGGTCAGATGGGAGGTAATACAGAGTATTTCTCCTTTATGTTCCTTCTTTTTGCCCCCAGTGGTAATTCTTGCGTAGACGTGCTGTTCTATTAGCTTCCATTCTTAACTGGGCTCAATTTGTATGTCATAGAAGTGAATCAGCTGGTTACATTAATTCATTCCCATTAACTTCCCCTTTTCAGGAACAAAAACTGCAGACCTCATCCAACTTCAGGAAGAGAAGTACTGAAGGTGGGGGAGAACACCTTCTCTTTGCCAACAGATAAATATATCTTGTTCTGCTCTTCAACTCAACCCACGTATTTCATTCTACCCTGTCAGTTCAAATTCCCACTGGGAAGTGTTTTTACGCAAATAGATTTCAGAAACATGAAAGAATATTCTGGAATTGTGATGTTACCTTTTCCTGCCAAAACTAAACTTCTTTCCAATAATGAGCTGGAATAACAAAAAAGATTGGCAGGGGAACAGCACACAAACCACCCCTCAGATGGGAAGTAAAGCTTGAGTTAACTGATGTGTAAATACTGTGCTTTTTCCATGAGCCGAAGTCAGCTTTGGGGTTTTGTTCAGGTATGGAAGAGCACTGGAGTTACAAAAGCTCATTCCAGTGGCCAGTTTCTACAACTAAGCAGGACTGGAGGTAACTAGGTTTCAGGGGTGCCTCACTTCTCACCTTGTCTTCAAAGCCATTGTCTGTAGCATAAGTGGGTGGCTTTCCAGGGTACCGATACAGAATAAAGTCTCGCCTAGGTAAGCAGAGGAAAAATAAGACTTGAAAGAGCACACTCTTAGTAGAGCCGTGTTATGAAGAAGTTTACAGGGAGCTGTTTAGAGAATCCACTGTTGGTTTATAGAAAAATCAAGTAGAATACTTCTCCTGATAAATGAACGCTACCATACAGCAATAGCTAGATGAGCAAACACCACTCATCTTGGGGGGGGGAATTATCTGGGAAAGACCATTTTATTTAGTCACAGATTAGGTCAAGTACTTAGGCTTACAGCAGGCTACTCAGACACTGAGATAATTAAGTCCAAGTGATTTAGTCACTCTGCAAAAGGACTAGAACCTTAGTACAGGGAACTAGTAACTCTTGCAAAACTTCACTTTGTTCTTTAGTATTGGAACAGAATGAACCTGGAAAGGGATGGCTCTTCCTTCTACTACTGGAGAGCCAGACTGCTTGTTATAGGACAGCAGCATTATTAGCAAAACAGCAGCACCTGTGCAGGTTTATGCTACCTTTGAAATAAGCATCAGGGCTGATGCACCAAGTAGGGCAAGTACGCCTCACTACTGGAGCTTTCAAGAACATCTACATGAGTTTTAGTCATGCTAGTAACTACCACCCAGTGTTTCCACTACACTTGTTTTTTCCCCATTTTCCATCCTTCAGCCACTAGAAGTAAACACTTGGCTTCAGAGTTTAACATTAGCAAAAAGATAACAAACAAACATTTCTGGAAACTGACCCTCCCCTTAACGCACGCTATGAGAACAGGAGCTGTGATGGCACCCATTCACATTAGGTTAAATAAGTTTGTTAGCGTAGCATTTCTCACCATGTTTCACACATTAGGATCTCAGCAACAAACAAATAAAAGGGTTTAGGGCCAGAACCTAAACACCATCAAGTCCAAAACAAAGTGAAACTTAATAGACACTTACTTGTACATCACTGATAAAGCACTCATTTCCAGCTGGCCAGCACTCTCCTATGCAAGATTATGAGATTACATGAAATAGCAGAGCCTTCTTCAACACCAAGAACTTTATTCTAGCCCTCTGTAGTATTAAAATACCTAACCAAACTCATGTTTGTTTGTTAAAACAAACAATCAATGCATTGAGTTGAGATACTAGGATTTATGGGGGGGGGTCCGCAGCATGGGATGGCCGTGATTACCAAACTGAGTAAGAGGGAGCTAGTTCTGGCAGTGACTCTTAAGCACGTCACTCAAGATACATTTTTTTTTTTTAAATGAAAAATACTACATTTGTTCAGAGACTGCTGCATTCACCATACTTATTGGTTCAAGTCTAAAGAAATAAGAGTTTGAACACTAGTATTTTACTTGGTGGTAAAAGCAGCAGCAAGGGAAGTGCAAAGCCTGATAAACATTTAATGTGAGGTACACTCCACACATTTCACATTTTCCTTCTTAGAGAAGAATTGCAATTATGAATAAGGCCCACAAGAGGCCTCAGCTTTACTGTCCAGTCTGCATAGATTGTGCCTTTGCACCAGCATAAATTCCCCACTAAAATTGATACTGTTTATACATGTGAATATTCAGCACAAACCCAGACTATTCGCTATGCAAATGAGACCCAAGGATCAGGGTCTATCTAAAAAAACCCAAACTACCCCAACTGCCACATTTTAAACTATCACCTAATTACTTTCCTGTTCTAGCCTCCTCAAGTTTTAACCTCTTGACAAGTATTAGATTAGTCTTACCTTTGGATCTCCCAGTCGTTCAAGGTATTTCTCAAATGATCCTTCCACATACTTTCAACAAAGCAAAGAAGAAAACAAATATAAAACCTCAGCCACTTGGAAAGCAACATTAAGCCTAAACACTATGCAGTTACTAGCTGTTGAATGGGAGGGAGGACTGCAAGGGCTGGGGGCAGAGACATCAAACTTGGGGCTAGTCTGCCAATTCCTATCCTTTTTGAGTTGTGAAGGGCTGCGGTCTGACTGGGGGTATAACTTCCGCTGTTCCCTGCCTTAGAGCATGGGAATGATTTGGGGTACCAATGAGGAAATACCAAGAAATCCTAAAAAATAAAGAGCGTGAGTCTGAGTAATATTCACTGACTCGCCTCCCTCCTAGATGAGATTAAGCACTTAACTGTGATTGGGGGGGGGGGGGGGCGGGAGTAAAACACAACACAA